TTCTTTAAATGAAGTGTCTGTCATTGAACTTGGAAGCATCTGAGACAATTAGAGTTTGTACAGTGCTAAATAACAAGTTTTCTTTGTTTGAGTGCTATTGATTTCTCAAGTTTGGGTCAAGGGATTTGCCTGATGATGATGACATTAGAAAGTACAGCACTGGCTGGGATGTGTGCACACTTCAATATCCTGCCATTTGGTCTTTCAGACAAAGCAATGTGCCAAAAGTATCAATGGCCACATCTCTTCACATACATGGACTGGGCAGGGTTTTTCACCAATGCTTTCACCAAGGTAGGGCTGAGAGTTTGTCACCATTAGCAGTGTGTTTGCTCTGTGCTGGGATAAATAGTGCTTTCATTAACTTCCAGCAGTAGTGTTCCTTCAGGAGCCCTAGGGATTGTGAGCTAGTTTTATCTAAGCAATGAAAGCACAGCACAGTCCAATAAATGCAAAACAAACAACATAATTAAGCACTAAAAAGCAGTATGGCTGAGAAGCTAAGTGTGTTGAGAGCCAGTGTGCAAAGGCCAGGGCATCCACATTAGCTCCAGTCCCACGGGCCAGTGTGAATCTGTCAGACCCTATGTCTTCATTAGGAGAATACAGGGGGTGGAAAAGGCCACACGAACACAGGGAAAGATGATGATATTGTGTTGAAGGATTTCGGCACTGGAAAATGGAAACTTGTTGTTTAGTTCAGAACAATGGTGGAGTACAGCTGAATGTGGCTGCCTAAACCAAGGAGCTGTCAGCAAGAAAGGTCAGGCAGGTGCTTTGCTTTTATTAAGTTGAGAGACAGTAAATGAATCTTTCTTAGTTCCAAGACAAGCTGTAGCTAAATCCAGTGAGGAGGAAATACTGTGTTTCTTGGGAATTTTGATTTCTGCATCTTGTTTTTGTATCGGAAGTAGAAATATAATCATCTCTCCTTACTAAAAAGTGATAATAATGCTGCCACCTCTATATGCTCCTTTCCTCCCATCTCTTCTCTTAGGTCTCTGCCCAAAAAAAGCTGAATCAGCTGAGGACTAATTTCCAAATCTCTTGTAGAAATATGGTCCATCTTGTCCCAGTGCTGCACTGGCCCCTGAGTTCCTGGCAGGTTCCTTTGCTGCCTGCCTCCTCCTTCAGCAGGTCCATTAGAGCCCTGAAAATCTGTGTGCGTTCACTGAAAGTGGTTCTTCTGCAAAATCCCACATCCAACATACTGGCATTTTACTGTAAAAAATGAAATTAAAATTAAGCCAAAATCTTACATGGCTGAGAACTAGTTGAGGTAGCTGGTATAAACCACCAAACCCCTGCACCCAGCTAAGTATTACTGACAGTGGTATCCACTCATGCTTTGACACATAAACCGTTCAGAATGATGTTTTATATGAGAGGTAGCAAAACCTTATGCCCTGTTACTATGTGATTTCTATTTATGAAGGTCTTTTAATTTAAACTCCTGAATAACATTTGAGATCTATTGTTAATTCAAAAGGGTAGTCTAACATTCCCCATCTTTTATCAAAAGGCAGAACTATAACTAAAGATCAGCTACTGGAACTTGTGTTCAAATGTTTTTTTGCAGTTGCTTGAGCTCTTGAAATTTTGTGTTTTCAAAAGTCTCCTGAATAGTTCTACCAAAAAGGTCCAGTCTGAGAAAAAATTGTAACATGAAGGAACTTCAGAGTTTGGATTCTTTGTTCCAGAATACAGCACTTCTGGTGAACTTTTTTTTATAAACCTGATCTGCTCCAGGTATGCAATGCTTCTGTGGATGAAGGCCAGATTTGCAGAATATGTATTTACAGTACAGCTCATTCCAAAGGGACAGGTGCTCTCAGTTTATTCCTGCATCACTTGGCAGCACATTTATGCTGCATATGCCCACGACATGATGTAAAAGAATTATACATGGATGGACACTGTAATGTTTCAGAGGTGCTCTTTACAAACCAAATGATTTGATCATGCTCCATGAAGGCAGTGTGCTTCCTGCAGATACTGTTTCTGCTATGTGTGGGACTTACTGTTTACACCAAGACTCTTGCTGTGTTAGGGCTCCTTGAAGACCATCTGTATCAAACAATACAGCTGTGCAGGATCCGCCTGCATGGTGGAAATGAAGATGTATATTAGATTTAGCTGAGTCAGCAGGGAGGAGCAGGATTGCACTCTATGAAAGCATAAAGTGTTCTTTCCATTGGGATATCCAGTTTTCGCAAGTAAGGCATTGCCTGGTGATCTGCCTATCTTAAGCAATGCTGAGAGTTGCTGCTTTTCACCATCCTTTAGCAAAACAGAGAGCCCAAGGACACCACTGTGTTGTATGTTTGTTAATTTAATTCCTTCTAGGTTTATTTGTGTTTTCCTTCCCACAAGAGACTTATACCCGCTGCTTGTGGTTGCCCAGTCCTGCTCTCCTCCCAGCTACATGTAAATCACTGTCAGGACTGGGCCATGTGTCCCATCTTCCATCATGCTTTCTTCTTTGGACTGTGAGATCAGGATGTGAGTTCCATTGCCTCACAGGCACAAGGTGTCCTCCTGGTCACACTGGCATCACGCTGTGGTGTCCATGTCCACCCTCTCTCACCTGAGGCATCGCAGCTAAAATACAGGGGCTTTGCATGTGTCATCCATTCAGGTGACCTGTCCAGAAGCCAGGACATTAGTGTAACCTCTCAGGAGGGATGACATCTCTGAGTACTCTGATTTTTAACAGCAGACACTGTTTATTCAACAATTTTCTACTTTTCTACTAATGGGGCATATGAGTTTTTTGGCTGGCAAGTTTTTGGATTAGCTGCTTTTCTAACAGCTGATAGCTGAGTCCAAAGAGCTTAGTCAGAGGAGGTTTTGTGGAGTTTGCAGGGAAGCCTTTACAGAAAAAAATGTAAATTATGCCTTTCACCAGTAAACTCTCCTCCAGAAACTGTGTCTGATTAAAAAAACCTCATTATTTTTTTCATGAATCTCTACCCCCTGGAGTCATGTGGGTATCTCCGATTTTATTTTCACAGAAGTTTTTAGCTTTGTAGATTGTAGGCAAGTCTGAAGCTTTATAAATAAGAGAAAGAACTTTAAAAATATATCTTTTTTGTCTTGTCAAGTTTATCATTAAACCTATCAGATGCTTTATCAGGGTCTGTCAAGATTTCTGCTTGGGGGAGGTGGGCAGGGTTATAATCCTGCAAGGTCTTTTTGTCTGAATCCTCTTTTTCTCCCCACATTTTTTTAGGAAAGGGTGCAATACTGTGGCACACATTTCTTTCCCTCCTGTAAAAAAAAGCATTCATTATCATAGACCTGTTCTGGTGTGAAAGAGCTTCACTGTGTACCTGCTCTCTTTCAGGCACACACAAGATTATGTACAATTCCTCCATCCAGCTTTCGTGCAACCTCCATGCAGCTGTGTCAGGCTGACATAGACATACACCTGAAAAATCCCACTGGACACTTCACGACATGCTTAGGTGCTCAAATAGCCTCCAAACCCATTTTCCTCCCTGGCAGCAGGTGAGATCTGTCAGGCAGGAGACTGCAATCCAAGCACACAAGAACAATCGTTTCCTGTCTGCTGCGCTTACTCCCTGCTGTAATTACCTCCCTCACAGGGTGATGGAGGGATGCAGGGCTCTGTAATTATTTCCCTGGCCCATGTATTGCTTGAGTGGGCACAGCTCCAAATACAATTGCTCAGATTGTCTCACTGGGTATAGGATTTTCTCCACTTTTCACACAGACCCAAGACATACCTGATCAGACAAAGGAGTAGTTTGTCTTTCTTCATGATAACTTCTGAAACATTTGGTTACTTTCCAGCCAGTTGTCAGAGACAGAGGCTTAGAAAAATCTGTATTTTGACATTTTTCAGTGGTCACTGGGGAGAAGAAAGAAATAATGTTCTTGTCCCCACTGGGAGGGAGCAGACAATATGAATTTAACCTTAATCAGAGACAAGAGATAGGTGCTCAGCACACATGAATGTATTCCACTGTCTTTGCTTTTCTGCATCAGGTTTTGACATCTAGCTGCTAAAGAAAAGGACAGGGAA